TGCTGAGGGCGCACTCAATTCCATTGTCCAGATATACAGGTTAATTTTCATAGCTATCACTACTGCTCAAATTCTGCAGGTCTCAACAGAACTGTCACCAGAGAGCTATTAACAAGTAAATAGTGCAGAACTCGCTACATACTACCAAAGATCACCTCTCTTGTTTTTACAAACACTTCTGTGTGACACAAGTCATGGCAGTTAATGCTACTGGGCAACTAAAGCCAGAACTTGTTTATCATGTACTGAACTGCTCTTCTGGTGCAAGGCGATAGTAAATAAAGTGGATGGAAGTTCTTCTGGTCAACCGACCCCTAACAGAAATGTGGGAACAAAAACCAAACCCAAACCCCAACTGAACAAATATGCAGAACATTACTGGTGATTAAAACAACGCTGGAAAGTCTTCATGCTTTTTTCTGAGTAGAAAAAAAGACGAGTAACTGATGTCAACTGTTTTCACTGAAATAGAACGTGTCTTCGTTAGGACTACAAATTTTGTCTGACAAAAATAGCAACAGCTTCTTGCCACCCCTACACCCCAATCCCTCCCACTAAAACTGTATCCAAGACAACGCTGATTCTTCCAGTATTAAACATTCAAGTACTCTAATGCTGCACTTCTGTAAATCCTGATATCTGGTACTTGCAAACTAAGTGTGTGTCTTGAGATCAATGAACATCTACAGAAAAAATGTTGACTTGCAAATACTGAACATCAACTATTTACAGTTTCACTGCTTCTCTTACTAAGGCAAGGGCCGGGAATACCACTAGATTGCTTTATTACCTGAAATCTGCATATTACAGAAAACGCTAATTTTGCCAAGCATCAAACATGCAGTGAATTTGCAGGGCATAATGCCTATTAACAGCAATATTGAAACATCACTAAAAGCTCATTAGATATCTTCCTACACTTTTTTGGTTGAATAAAATGAAAATGAGCAGCTTTAAATACACTAAACACACACTCACAGAGAGAAAACTATTTGATAAATTATTTATATACAGATACACATTCTTTACACTGGTCTCAGACATCTGCTTTCAGGTCCCTCCCCAAACTCCCCTCACAGGTTTCTCGAACCACTGGGTTGCTACAGCACTTAGAAGAGAACTAACCTGATTCTCAGTCTCTCTGTAAACAATAGTTAAGGAAGCAGTGAACAATTCACTATGAGTTTATGAAAACACCATAACAAAAATCAGTGCATCACATTCAAGAAAAGCCCCTTTGGAATGCAGTTTCAGATCATTCCTTACCTTCCAAACATATCTGTAGCATGAGAACTTAAAAAAAGAAATTAAGGGTGATTTCCACGTGCCAATACACCATCTTCTTCAGAACGCTGTGTTACATTTTCTGTGCATGTACTATCATGGGAACTTTGCTTTGTTAAAGTTTGGATTCCATTATTTTACAACCAACCAAAATCAGCATTGAAGACAACTCTGGGTTGTTCTTCTGCAGTCGCATCCAATTTAAAACTGTCTTGTCTTTTTACAACTGAGATTCTTGCTTTCACATCTGTGGTTTCCCCCACGTGATTTCTCTTCCAACATGTCTCCAATTACCCTATGCTGGTACTGTGTGAGGACCAAACCTAATATTAAAACATCGCTAGTTTGTAAGGTGCTTATACAGTTACTTCAAAGATAATGAATTTTTTCCACTTTTTTTCCTGAACATTATATACTGTAATCTAGTTTTACAGGTGTATCATGCATTTAAGCAGGGCTTTAACTTTGACAGAAGAGCTTTCTTTATTTATTTCATACTATATAACCTCAGAACAGGGTTACTACAAGTATTTAGTCGTACCAGTAACTGGTGGCAAAAAACAGTCACCAAAAACTGTGGGCAATGTATTTTTTTCAGCGTTATCTGATGCGCCCTACTGCTATAACTTAACACATTACAGGGGATTCCCACCACCTGATGTTGGTAACAGTTCTGAAAAGCACATTTTTCAATGTACATGATACTACCAAAAACCTGTATTAAAAATATCACATTACAGGAACTACAACATAGTGATCAGTGAACGCTGCATCATGAAATTTAGTTTTATGTTCTAGATTCTTGTTTCAGTGGAATTATTTGTATTGGGAAATAAATTTTTCTGCTCAGCACAATGTAACTACTTATGTCAATACTTCAATAATCTCATGCTCCATTGTGAAAGACCTTAAATAAAAAACGCAACAACAAATACTGTGAATATGCAGTCATGAATAATTCTCATGTTAAGAACTGTTAAAATCCCTTTTTGATTTTCCTCCTCTTCCTTATCAGGTTCGGCAGTTTATTCTGTCCACTTTTACATTTGTTAATAAAATTCTGATGAAGAGAAGGTACCTTATGATTCACCATCAGCCCTACACATAGCATGCTACTCTTCAAGGGATGCAGACTCGAGAGAGAGAGAGAAAATTTTCAGGCACCACTCAGATATGATATGCTCACAGGACGAAGGTGGTGCTACACTAGCTGGTAGCCTGATCCTGAAGTTTGGTCATATTCTATTGTATACTGCCTTGTCCAGTCCACGATAACAGGCCGAAATAGACCACAGCATCTGAATTCAAAGAAGTCTATAATGTTCCTTATACATCCATGGCTAAAAACAGAACAAAACCAGATGTTAGTAAGCAACATCATAGCTTATCCAAAGTACATTTTTTGTCTACCTACAAATTAGATTCTTCACCCTTTAAGTTCCTAACAGTAGAAAACCAATTCAGTTAACAATTATCTTAGTGCTTACTGATGAGCAAGTTCTGGAATAAGAACGAGGCTTGTGAATGTTTCATCCTTGGACACAACCAAGACACTAACTTGCTTCCACTGTCTACTAAAACCGTATGGAGTAAAGTAACACGTTACTGATATGCACCTCATGTAACATAGCATAGTAATTCAGATCCCTAAGAGGAAATTTGCAGTGTACAGATGGATGCAAGACAAAACAGCATGAAGTGAGTGTCTTCCTAGAATAATTTCAAGTTTTATTAATATCTATTTCTGTCATACATACTGGTTCAGCAGCTGCAGGTCTAAGATGGATTAAGTCCCTAGACAACACAAAATTAAGAAAGCATTATCTGAATTAAATGAACCATTCAAGTGCTTTCTGCTGCTGAATCAATTAATTGTTAAACATTTAAGATACCTACATCAAAATCCCAGCATGTTGGGGTTTTTTTACTTAATTATACATGGGCTGAATAGATCACAGGTTTCTGGACGAGAAGCTCATGTTACAATATATGTAAGAGCGGT